TATATATATAATTTATATGTATTTGTGTGTCAGCGGACCGTAGGAAAACATTTGACTGAGTATTCTTCTCTTCACCAACAGCTATGTTTGTCTTTTTCCTTCACCTAAAGTATTTCTTATTTTTTTTCATTGCATTCTTTTTTTTTCCTGCTTTTTTTTTAATTTGTCTTTTTTTCTTCTTTTTCTCGTTTTCATCTTTCCTTTTCCGCCATTCTTTTCAGTATGGTGATGTTGCCGCTATGCATCACCGCTGTTTGGCAGTTGTTGCTGATAAACTAACTAAATAATTGTCTGACTAACTAATAACTAAACATCACTAAACCTTTCAATCGTTTTAGTCGTTGTTGTTTTGTTCATGGTTTAACATTTATTTCTCCTACATAATTAAGAAGTTTTGCGAATTTTTTATTTTTAATTGGCATATATAGCTTGTGCTGTGTGATATTTACTGCATCTGACGGCTGTTATCAATATATCTGGTTGGACATAAATGATACTGCTATTAACGTCAACACCTGATATAATTGTATTTGTAAATATCTTTCAATTTTCAAGATTATTTATTCTGAGCCCTTTTTTTTCTTCTTTTCTTATTTTATTTCGTTGATTTTTGTTGTTCTGGCATTAACACTTCATTTGTTATTGTTTCCTGGCTTTATTTCCCTTTGTTGCGTTTTCTGATAGAAGTCTTAATAATGGATTGGTTGACAAACAAATTTCTTTTGCTGAGTAAGAGGACCTCAACAAAAGTTGAATTTTGTGGCATTTATTGATTAAGCTGTTATTACTGACACTATTGTACGTCTGAGAAACGAAACTGGCAGAAAAAAGAAATTTACTTCACTTTCAAGTTGATTCAACCTCAATTTACGAGGGAAAGAAAGTTGAGCTTTTTTTTTGTTAAACTGTTAATGAAGTAATCATTTTAAAAAATATTGTACTGCAGTCGTTATTCGATCAATAAAACATGAACAACTTTTCCGCTAAATAAAAAAAAGAAAGCAAGAAAAACGAGCAACAAAAAAAACTTTCTTCTCCGTTCTCCCTGCCCTATTTATTTAACTTTCATAGAAGAACCTTAATCTTTGTAACGCCTGCAATCGTTACAGCTTAAGAACCATTCAGTGATTACATCCGATATGTTTGAATAACAAACCGTTATATCAGTGTATTTGATATTGTTGAGTACAGTCACAATTACTTTTTTTTTAACGCATACTAACGACAAGTTTAATAAAATGGCATTTTTTTTGTTTAATCAGCATAAACCTTTAAGCAGTCCATCAGAGTAACGGCAGGTATCGACAAGCCACCAACTACTGGTGGTAATCTTTTATTTTGGTAGCTGGTGAGTTAATTTACTCAATGTTCATTGAATTAACAGCTACTAGTTTTTTCTGTTTAGTTGTTCTTAATGGGAGCGAATAGACAGGTGGAGCTGTACGACTGAATATAGCTGGCAAGTAATAAAGCTGAAAAAGTTGTACTATAACAGAAAGATTTATCTGATCACTTGGTGCTAAGTGGTACTATCAACGACTGAATTGCTACTGCCATGTAGCGTTTTTCGATGTATGGCCAAAGTTCATCAACGCTTTATTTTTCAAAAATATTCAAGTAATTCGATCGTCTTTCAAATTGTAATTTTTCAGCCTATCACATCATAATATGCTGAATGACTGTTATAACAAAAATTTTTGCCATCACCAGTTTTCTAGAAGGTTTTCCTTTGTTTTTTTTCTCCTTTTCTCTTCTGTTTGTTCCTTCCTTCAACCCTTCCTTTTTCTTATCCGCTTTTTTTTGATACGTCTAAACAGGGGTGGACCGAAACGTAAACAGAAGAATACAACAGATGATCAGTTATATCGGGGTGAATAGAAAAAAAAAGAGAAGAAAGCAACAGCAGAAATAGCAAAAAAAAAAAAAAAGGCAAATAAAAAGTGCAACAACAACAACAACAAGATCAACAAAAGGTCTTCACAGTGATCTTTTTCCACATTACTAAATGCTGTTGTTCTGAAGATTTGCGGAAATTTTTGCATTTTCATGACTCCAAAATCGTATAATGCTTTCTTATGTTGATGTTGTTGCTGACATTTTTGCTCCTACTGCTTCTACCGCTGTTGCTGCTGTTGCTGCTGCCGCTGGTGCAGCGGCTGCTACTGTTGCTCTGAAACAACGTATCCATTCAACAAGACTGTTGCGTGGTCGACTTGTGGCTTACAAACTACTGCTGCTGCTGCTAGTCCTTTAACTTCTTTTCTTTTTGTTTTTATGTGGTGAGAAAAATTGAA